GGTGAGGGATAAAAGACTACACACTGGGTACAGTGTACACTGCTCAGGTGACGGGTGCACCAAAATCTCAGAAATTACCACTAAAGAATGTCTTCATGCAACCAAACACCACCTGTTCCCTAGAACTGATTGAAATAATAATTTTTAAAACACCACTGACTGTTTATACAAGAAACTAATAACAGTGGCTACTTATTTGGAGGGTGTGTGGGGACTGTGTGGATGGGTGTCAGAGGTAGTAGAGAACCCACATGAGTGTGTTATCTGTTAACAATTCAATACATTATATTTTTAAATGTCATCCTTGCACAGAACCCAATCAATTCTGTTGAATGAAAAAAGTACGTAAGATAGCTTCCCTTCCATCTGTTCCCATCTCCAGCACAAACCTGTCCCTACTGATGTTGGCACTCCTCCACGGGATGTTTCGGGACCCCCTGGACAGCAGCAGGCAGCTCTTCAAATTTTTTTTTAATGTGGTTTTTAAAACAATACTTGAGAATAATCAGCTTCCAGTAATGAGCGCTTGCATCACTCTAGAAAAGTGTTTTCAAAAGTATGTTCTAATTAGGTCCTTAGACCCTGAGACAGTTTATCTGTTCCAAGCTCTATTTTATAGAAGGGAAAACTGAAGTTGTGGGAAGTTAGGGGATCTGCCCATGGTCATTCCTCCAGAAATGGCAGAGCCAATTGAGATCTTCTGATTACAAGTTGCCAGTCCTTCCAAGGCCGCTTAGAGAAGGGTAACACCCCTATCATCCTTCCCAACTCCAAAAGAAGAAAGAAGAAGATGATAGCAAGACCTCCGCAGATTTTCTTTCAATCCCATGACATTTTGTGACAGACTGATATAAGTATGGGTCAGTCTGGGTCTTGGTCCTAGGGGACAGTACCAGCAGAGAGGGAAAAGTATCCAAATTCTGTTTTGACTGTTGCACTTGTCCAGCAAGAGAGAAATGAGGAAGGAAAAATGTCCTTGGCTGGTGTGGAGAGAGCTCTGCCAGTAAATCTGGCGGATGTTCCAACGTGCCAAAGATATCCCCCCAAGTCCTATTAACACCATGACACTGAACCAGAGGCGGTGAACACGTACTAACACTGCTGACATCTTGGCAGCTTTTGAAAGATCCTGTTGCTATTTACTAATGCGTGGGTGGGATATTTGAAGATGGAGAGGTGCTGGAAAGGAAGCAGAGTGTGGGAGGACTCTGCTCCCAAAGACTGAGTTGAATGTCGCTCTGCATATGCTTTGCAAAAGTTTCCCTCCATTAGCTTTTCCTCCTCTTTCATCTCGTACCCTCCAAATCGACTCTAGAGTCCCAGATCCTCCAACAGAGAGAAAGCGAGAACTATCAGCGAAGAGAATGAAACGTGCCCTTCATAACTACAGTCTGGATCCACTGTCCAAGCTGAATGGAAGCTTAAAGAACAGCAGCATCAACAGCATCTAGAGGCGGGGTGCGGTGGCTCACGCCTGTAATCCCAGAACTTTAGGAGGCCAAGGCAGGAGGATCACTTGAGGCTGGGAGATCGAGACCAGCCTGGCCAACATGGTGAAACCCCATCTCTACAAAAAATATAAAAATTAGCTGGGCATGGTGGTGGGTGCCTGTAATCCCAGCTACTTGGGAGGCTGAGGCAGGAGAATTGCTTGAACCCGGGAGGTGGGGGTTGCTGTGAGCCAAGATCACGCCATTGCACTCCAACCTGGGCTACAGAGTGAGACTCCATCTCAAAAGAAAAATAAAAAGAAGGCGCAAGTAGTTGTCAGTAACTCACAACTATTTTAATTACTCTAGGGTATGTAAAAATATTTTAGGAGCATCACAAAACTTTAAAAAGTCAATTTAATTTTAATTTCAAATTTTAAACTAATGGGCTAATTTTTCTTGTTTTGCTTTGTTTTGAGACAGAGTCTTGGTCTGCTGCCCAGACTGGAGTGCACTGGCACGATCTTGGCTCACTGCAACTTCTGCCTCCCAAGATCAAACGATTCTCCTGCCTCAACATCCCAAGTAGCCGGGATTACAGGCACGTACCACCATCCTCAGTTAATTTTTGTATTTTTAGTAGAGACGGAGTTTCACCGTGTTGGCCAAGCTGGTCTCGAACTCCTGACCTCAGGTGATGGGCCCGCCTCAGCCTCCCAACGTGCTGGGATCACAGGCGTGAGCCACTGCAATCAGCCCATAATGGGCTAATTTTATGTAGCTTTGATGTGATCTCTTTCAAAGTGGATAGGGAATAAAAATGGCACAAGCAAAGGTCTGGAAACGTGCAGGGTCCCCCAGGTTGAACTAAATTCTGCTCCACAGCAGCTCAGCAAAGTGAAATAATTCTCTTCCTCGCCTCAAGTTTCCACTTTTCCTCCAAGCCTGGAACGCTCCCACACTTTGTTATCTAAGAGGCCAGGGTGATTCAAGGGAAAGGGGAAAGGAATTCTCCCCCAAGATCTACATCTGATCAACAGAAATGGATCTGCCTTCACACTGAAACAACTCTCCACGGTCCTATTGTTCTTCGTTTTTCCCAAATGATGGAAAAATCCAATTCCAGAAAAATGTTAGTAGCTAGATGATGTGACCATAGTACTAAAAAGTTATGTAGCTTAAAATTTTAAGGGCTAACCTATTCAAGTATTTTCAGAATAATATCTAATCTCTTGATATAAATCTATTATATAGTCATATAAGCAAAGCTCCCACAAGATGGAGAACAAAAGGGCCAAGCCTAAAAAGGTTTCACTTGGAAAAAATTAAGTATGACTCAGGCTTGGGATACTCAGGCTTAGACTTGCTGTGTCCAACTCAATATGGAGTAGACAACAGTAAAGATTAAGAAGGGGAAAAGGAAGAATAAAAACAGGTGCTTGGAGCCACACTGGGGGCAAAATACTTGACAAACATTCAGAAAGTTCTGGCAAACTATCAGGGAGGGGTTAGAAAAGTCTAGACTACTGTCAGTAGTGTAGAGCTGAGGAATGTTTGTTTGTTTGAGACGGAGTCTCGCTCTGTCCTTCAGGCTGGAGTGCAATGGTATGATCTTAGCTCATTGCAACCTCCGCATCCCGGGTTCAAGCGATTTTTCTGCCTCAGCCTCCCGAGTAGCTGGGATTAGAGTAGCCGCACCACCTTACCCGGCTAATTTTTGTATTTTTAGTAGAGATGGGGTTTTGCCATGTTGGCCAGGCTGGTCTCGAACTCCTAATCTCAGGTGATCCCCCCACCTCGGCCTCCCAAAGTGCTGGGATTACAGGCATATGTCAAAGAAGAATAAATCATTTCCCGTCGTTGGACATACCTTCCCTTCACAGGAACAGCTTCTGTGCAAGAGCATGAAGAAGGCCTCCAGGGTCCAGGGAGCCCTGGGCAAAGCTCCCTTTGAATCTCCCTTTGAAGGGGGGTTTGAATCTTGTCCTTTGTAGACATAGATGCAGCTGGAGGCCGTTATCCTAAGCAAATTAATGCAGGAACAGAAACCCAAATACTGCATGTTCTCACTTATGAGAGCTAAACATTGAGTACACATGGACACAAAGAAGGCAACAATAGACACCAGGGCCTACTTGAGGGTGGAGGTGGCAGGAGGGTGAGGATGGAAAACTACCTCTCAGGTACTGTGCTCACTACCTGAGTGATGAAACGATTGGTATCCCAAATCCCAGCGGCACGTGATTTACCCACATCACACACCTACACACCTAGCCCCTGAACCTAAAATAAAAGTTGGAAGGAAAACAAAATAAAAAGGACACTAGGAATTGGGAAGAGCAAGGCAGCTACCCTAAGCCATCCCATCAGACAAGAGAAAGACACTTCCCTCAAACTTTTCTTGATGGGTAGAAAGAAGGGAGTTTCTTAACATGTGCAAATGGGTTCATTAATGCAAAAAAGAAAACACAAAAAAAGTCCTTATTCCATGTGATACCCATATCAGAACTCTCTCCAGCAGTGTGTCACACTGTCCTAAAAATGTTTTCCATCGGGGGGACTGGAAGAGATGGGTCACTGCCCCAGAGGCCTAGACTGGCCTGCCCCCACTATCACCCCAACTTGGTTGTGGCAATGCCATTGCTTCGGAAGAGTGATGATCATCAAAATTTTCCTCCAACTCTGGCATTTGGCCCAGAGCAGAAGACTCTCTTATATTTTCATTCCCAAAATGATCCCAACCCTTAAGATCCCGACCCCTACATTTTGCAACCACCTTGGCCATCCTGCACCTCTATGTCTTACCAACTACGGTTAGGAATCACAGGAGTGGTAGCTATGATAGCCATTTCCTTTCATTTCCCTCAGCACTTTTCCTTTCCTCTGAGACAATTCCTTAGAACCCTATGCTGTCGATAACAATCACACAGTCAGGAACAGTCGTAACAGCTCACAGGTACTGAGCACTTACTCTTTCGAGAATTACGTTAATGGATTTACATAATTATAGTTTTTATACATTTAAATCATATTGCACTAGCCCTCTGACACAGATCGGGGTGTCCAATCTTTTGGCTTCCCCAGGCCCCACTGGAAGAACTCTCTTGGGTCACACACAAAATACACTAACACTAACGATAGCTGATAAGCAAAAAAAAAATTGCAAAAAAATCTCGTAATGTTCTAAGAAAGTTTACAAATTTGTGTTGGGTCACATTCAAACTGTCCTGGGCTGCAGGTTGGACAAGCCTGATATAGATGCTACTATTGTCCCCGGTCTGCAGAAGAGGAAACTAAGGCTCAGCATGCCAATCTTCATCTCATCCTGTTCTCATACTTTGGGAAGAACTGCTTATCCAACAGTAAAGTTTCAGGGATCCAAAGTTTATGAACGGTCTTTTTTAACAGCTGGGAGGCAAGAAGGGATAGTAGGAGAGAGAGAGGGTATACAATAATGCTCTCTGCTCTGGGCTTTTGGAAGAGTATTCTTGACTCCTTCGGTCACAAAACTCACACAAGGTGTAGCTACACTACTGTTTTGCTGTGGCACAGGATTTAGCCGATTCTTACCCTATTGTCTTCCTGGATTTCCCAGTCACTGGAGAAAGTCACCAGCTGCTGCCCTTGGGAACAGTTTGAAAACTGGAAAAGGCTAGAAAACATCCTTCTGTTCTCTTGAGTGTCCGGGAAGATGGCATCTTGGAAATTGACTCCGTGAGGCAAGAGGTTATAATTTTCATCCATCCTAATGGAGAAGAGGGAAAAAAGGCAGACATGTAGACTCAACGGCCAAGGGTGTACCAACTTCAATCAAGAGTCACAGACAACTGCGATGGGCTTGCCAGTTTCACATCAGTGTCTGGCGTGGCTCTCATTAGAGGAGTTACTACTTCTAATTATTTCTTTGTCTCACACTACATCAGTCTATCCTTAAGGTTTTCAAAAAGACGAGTTTGAGCAAAGTATGGAGAAAAATATGCGTATGGTGCCTGTTTGTCTATTTGTGTTGTCTTTCAAGTCCCCCAAGGAGTCTTCCTTCTCAAAGAGGGTTCCTTATTTCCTGGTGAAAAAAAGGCCAGCTGTGATGACCTATGTTCTGTCTTTGCTATTTATCTTCTATATGACATGAAACAAATGTCTTAACTCCTCTAAGCCTCAGGATTCCTTTTTTTTTTTTTTTTTCTTGACACGGAGTCTGGCTCTGTCGCACAGGCTGGAGCCCAGTGGTCGGATCTCAGCTCACTGCAAGCTCCGCCTCCGAGGTTCACGCCATTCTCCTGCCTCAGCCTCCCGAGTAGCTGGGACTACAGGCGCCCGCCACCTTGCCCGGCTAGTTTTTTGTATTTTTTAGTAGAGACAGGGTTTCAGCGTGTTAGCCAGGATGGTCTCGATCTCCTGACCTCGTGGATCCACCCATCTCGGCCTCCCAGAGTGCTGGGATTACAGGCTTGAGCCACCGCACCCGGCCAAGCCTCAGGATTCTAATCTGCAAAAAGAATATAGTACTGGCTGGGTGCGGTGGCTCATGCCTGTAACCCTAGCACTTTGGGAGGCCAAGGCGGGTGGATCACCTGAGGTAAGGAGTTTGAGACAAGCCTGGCCAACATAGTGAAACCCTGTCTCTACTAAAAATACAAAAATTAGCTGGGCATGGTGGCACACTGTTGTAATCCCAGTTACTCAGGAGGCTGAGGCAGGAGAATCACTTGAACCTGGGAGGCGGAGGTTGCAGTGAGCAGAGATTGCACCGTTGCACTCCAGCCTGGGCAACAAGAGTGAGATGCCATCTCAAAAAAAAATAGGAATATATATATATAGTACCTACTTTTTTGGTGATGTCATAAGCATTGCATCAAAAACTAAGTAAATGAAGCACTTGGTACAAAGTAAATGCAGTATACATATTAGTGAACATATTTAAAGGCCTAGCATAAATCAATTAGAATGATTCTTTAAAAAGTCACAAAAAGAAAGAGATGAAAGTTACACTCCAGTCTAAAAAAAACAACATGTGTGGCTCACCAGCAAGTCTCCACTGCCACCCTCACCCGACAGTGACCAGAGGTCCAGTCTCCTCTCAGTAGGTCCCAGAATAACAGAGGAGGAATGATTTGTCTGTAGTTGTTAACACACTCCAAGGCAAGACAGCCCTGTGAAATGAGAATGTCAGACTACTGTCTGACTTTGTATTTCTTTCCTAACTTTTGTAAACATGGTAGAGTTAAAAAGATGAGAATTGGCTGAGCACCACGGAACCACTGGACGAACTGTATTTCATGATAAAAATTTCTTTAAAAAGCCTGTTCAAATACTTGGGCTCTTTTTTCTTTGGAGAACAGAGTTCTGGTTTTGAATAGTTTTATAGATGGTATCTCAGTATTTTTCCTAATTAAAAACATGAAACCCTAAGTTTCTCTGTATTGAGAAGGGCACTCTCTCAGCCCTGCTAGCTTTATTTAGAAACTACACTTCTCTGGAAATATATATATAGAGAAAAAAACTTCATCTAGCTGAACCACTCAAGCCAACACAAAGCAAGACATGTTTTTTAAACTTAGATATTCTGGCTTCAATATGGAAAACATGTGTTGCCATGAGCTTACAAACACCACTTTGTAGAACTGTTTTCTTTCTCAGAGAAATGTGAGCTAAAAGTTAATCTGCAGACCCACATCAGCCTCACTCCAAATATCCTTAGTGCTACTTCCCAGACTGGCAAAACTGGAACTACTACTGATCACCACAACAGTGGATTAATTCTCTATCTTGATAGATAGGTTAGATTCCATTTTGATGTTTTTCTCAGTTGTTTTATATCACTCTCCAAATTCAACTGAAGCCAATCAAAGAATTTAGGGTTCTACCTGGTGCTCTCTATTCAAATTTCAGAAGAATTCAGTAGTCAATGAGAATTGACTGAGTTCTTAGGCAGATGCATTCCATCTTGACCACAGGCCAATGTTCATGGAACTTCAGAGGATTCCAGTGGTCTAGAATCAGAGAGATCTCCTGCCTGGTTGACCTCTCCACCCCTCAAAGCATTGCTACCCAGGATTTTACCTGCAGCAGAACCCCCCACCCCCAATAAACCTTTGCTATTTCAAATAACCTGGCAGCTGATATGAGATAATGACGCGATCCTGGGCTACACTCCACACCATCGCATCTTGGCATTTGAGCAAGTGGGGAAGAGGGGAGAGTGGACAGCTGGTCAACCGCTAACCTGCACCAGGTGCTTTGCAGGAGTTACGTTTTTCGCTCAACCAGCCCTGCCTCTCACTTCACACAGGTGAGGCTATGGAAGTTCTTGAGAAGGTGTCAAGAAATAGGCTCAGAATCACCATTAGGAAAGGCAGAGCCAAAATGCCAGCCACAGACTGATCTCAAAGATTGTTCTTCTCACCGTCCCAATCTACTCCCATTGAGGCCAGTTTAAAGATGCGAGTCAAAGGGACTGTTGGAGAGCGCTTTGAGCTTTTGCCCGCAATGCTCTTCTGTGTACAAGGCACAGAAAGCCTCCCTGTCTTTTAAACCGCCTTTACCAGGGGTAGCCAGGGTGTCTGTAGAGACGTCAGACGGAGCAAGAGAGATCCAAGGAGGCAAGGGGTAGGCGCCCCAGGGCATTCTCATTTGGCACCGGCAGGCTGCCCTGGGAGTTACCGGCCTGGCTCCAGGTAACGGCGACCTCGGGAGGTGGTGCAAAGAGAGAGAGAGGTGGCGGCGCCGCCGGGCTCACCTGAGGAAGAAGAAATAGGAGTAGTCCTGGACCACGGTGTGGGAGTGGCACGAGAAGTAGCCCAGGCCGGTGAGGTTGAGCCTGGAGCCGGCGGGCACCTCCAGCATGCTGCCCCACGCCTGGTCGCACAGCATCTCGACCTCGGCCGAGTAGAAGAGGCCCCCCTGGCCGGCGTGGTACTGCCAGGGCAGGTGGTTGTAGAGGCCGGGCGCCTCGGGGTGCAGCGCCAGCACCCTGGCGTACACAATGGTCTCGGCCAGCTCGGCGCGGCAGCCCTCGCTCAGGGGCCTCCACTCGGAGGGCAGCTGGCAGGCGCGCGCGGGCGCTGGGGGACCCGCCAGGCAGAGCGCGGCGAGCAGCAGCTGGCGCAGCATGCCGGGCCCTCCCGGGGCGCACGGGGCGGCGGCGGGGAGCCCGGGGAGCCCGCCGGCCCGGGAAGGGCAGCCCTAGGCGCTCGGCTGCTCGGGCCGCTCCCGGGAGCTGGGCGCACCGCTGTCTCCGCCGCGGGGCTCGGCATGCCCGGCCCTGGCGCGCCACGCTTTAAAAGGGTCCGGGGAACAGGACGCGCCGGGCGCCCGCCTCCCGCCCTGCCCCCTGCGGCTGGGGCGGGGGCGGGGGAGGGGCGGGGACTCGAGCGGGTCCCGGTGCTGGCTGGGGTGGGGACGCCGGGATCCAGCTAGCCCTGACTTGGGGACAGCGGCCCAGCCCTCTCCTGGCGCCCCACTATGGAAGGGGTCCGAGTTTGCCAGGCGTAAAGCCTGTTTGTAAACGCAAGGCATTCATAAAAGAATGACTCTTAATTTGCACGATTACTAAGTTTTTACATTTTCTCTGCATTTCAAAGTGAAAATACATAGAAACCAAATCTGACTTTATCTTCCCGGAGATTAACTAAGAAATTCAGTGTGGGCTGAAAAGGTTTTTTAGATCTCGTGCTTTCTCAGATTTGCTTATTATTTAATGAAGATCTTAGAAAAGCTTTGATAAAAGATTCCAAAAAGCAATCATTTGGCCCTGATTTTCTTAAAACTAGATGGTTTCCATAATCCCTGCTTCCATTTTCTCAACACTGTACACCTGAGAAATACATTCAGAAGTAAATTCCAAACACCTTTTCACATCAGTGAGTGATTTTGAGGATATTCAAACTCCAAGGTTCCATCTTTATCTCTAAATGCAACAGGTTTCTTGTTTTGTTATGTTGTTTTTTCTTGAGACAAGGTCTCCGTCTGTCACCCAGGCTGGAGTAGTGATTTGATCAGGGCTCACTGCAGCCTCGACCTCCCCTGGGCTCAGGGGATCCTCCCAGGTCAGTCTCCCAAGTAGCAGGGAATACAGGCACACCACCACCTCAGATAATTTTTTTGTTTTCAGTAGAGACAGGCTATGTTGCTCAGGCTGGTCTCAAACTTCTGGGCTCAATCGATCCTCCCACCTCAGCCTCCCAAAGTGCTGAGATTTCAGGCGTGAGCCACCACATCCAGCCTGAATATTTAAATTATGCAATTTCATAATGCTATTAGTCTCCCAGGGCTGCCATAATAAAATACTCTAGACTGGTGGCTTAAATAACAGACCTTAATTTCTCAGAGTTCTGGAGGCAGGAAGTCCAAGATTAAAGTGCCAGGGTTGGTTACTGGTGAGGCCTCTCTTCCTGGCTTACAGACGGCCACCTTCTCACTGTGTCCTCACGTGGCCTTCTCTCTGTGTGTGATGGAGAAAGAGTGAGCCCTGGTCTCCTCCTCTTCTAACAAGGTCACCAGTCCTATCGGGTTATCACCCCACCCTTATGTCCTCATTTAATTACCTGCCTGAAGACCCTATTTCCAAATACAGTCACATTAGGGAGTTAGCACTTCAACATGAATTTGGAGGTGGGAGGGGAGACACTATTCAGTCTATATGAGCTGTTTAGCAGGTGTTCTGCAGGTTTGCTAGAGAAAGAGAGCAGGGATCCCAAATGGTTTATATTCCGGGCAGGCAGACTCACAGCACACGTTGCCAAGTTATAATAAGAATTGCTAAACTTTAGTCATTCTTTGACCATGGGCCAAGTACTGTTGTAAGGACTGTACATATGTCATTTTAATTAATTCTCCAAACAACATTCTGAAGTAGATGTAACTATTATCCTCATTTTACAGATAAGGAAACAGGCACAGAGAGGTTAATTGACACCAAAGATCACAAAGCTACAAGATGACCAAGCCAGGATTAAGCCCCCAGCATTTGGACTCCAGAGTCCATGTACTTAACACAACACTAGAATAGGGCCAAATATAGGAAATGCTCTAAAGACACAGGTTGGCCCTTTAACCAGAATATACACAGAGCAAATCAAGATAAAAACCTTAGCAGAATCACCAACCATGGCTCAAAGAGTGTGCAACTGACCTAACATTAATTTTGTATCACCCAGAATCCCTGCTCTATTTTAGTCCTATACTGTAACTTATGTAGATAAGATAGTAAGAAAGTTTTTATTAATTGCATCTTCAAGTGCCTTGAAGACCTGGAAAAGATTTGTCTACCCCTAAAAGACTGTAAGGCCCTGTCTTTTCTTTCCACATAGGTGAGCAAATAAATAAAAATCAGCAAACATGGCTGTTTTTTCTCTTCTTGTATAAACTTGACAGAATCAAAACTCTTCCAGTACTTCCCAGAATGTATTTTGCAGAAGTGGGTACCTGCAAGAAATCGTCCTTGTGGATTCAGCAGACACATGGGTCATGCTTTTCTCCTCTGTAAGATCTGGCAGAGTGCCTCGCTGATTGGGTTTCTCTTCCTGATCGAGCCACTGCAGCGTACCCTAGTGAGCAGTTCCCCTCTGGGGACCAAGACTTCCAAACAAGCTGAGCTCAAGGTAGCCAGGAGGGGAAACAAACCCTCTGGGAGTGAATTATTGGGTTTAATAGTGACATGAGCCACTTCCATCTCTTGATTCCAAGACCCGTGTGTCCTGGCGGTGGGGTGGATAGTACCACATATGTTCTGTTTCAAAGCACACACAGTAAGTACACTTTGAGATGGACTCCATCATTTCAGTGTGGTGACTCCCAACTGACGCTATAATTAAGTCTTCACTAAGCTGTTACACCTTTCAGAATTTGTCCAGTTTCTTCCAGGTGATGGGACATGTGGTAAAACCAGTTAATTCTATGGCCTTGAGACCACTGCTGCACTTCACTGCTGTGGAAGAAGCAACGCTATGGGAATCATTGATCAGAAACATCATTATGGGAAATTCTATGATAGTGGACAAGGTGCCCAGTGAGTCCATAGATGGTGCTACTGGCAGAAGCATTATTGCAAGGAAGGCATATCCATGTCCAGAATATGTCTATTTCAGTGAGGACAAATCTGTGACCCCACCCCCTACCCCAAGATGGAAAAGGTCCGATGGAATCAACCTGCCACCAGGTGGCTGACTAGTTCCCCAGGTGAATGGTGCCATATTAGGGGATCCATGCTGGCCTCTATTGTTGACATATTAGGCTCTCAGCAGTAGTGTCAGCCAGGCCAGCCGTGGTAAGAGGAAGTCCACATTGTTGAGGCAATGAATACCCTCTGTTTCTACCACTATGGCCACTCTATTTATGGGCTCATTGAGTAAGCACTAGAGTGGGCAAGAAAAGAGACTGACAGACATCCACTGAGTACATCAATTTCCCACCTAATCACTAAGAACTTCCCCTCCAGTGAATGCACTTTGGTTGTCATTCACATGGGTCACAAATATCTTCACAGTTGGTAACCATTATGAGATGTCCATTCATTCACCTCTTCCCAAGATGTCCTTGTCATCAATCTTCTGATCCTATTTCTTTCAAGTCCCTAACCATCCAACCAAACCACTAGCAATTGCCCACGAATCAGTGTCCATGTGTACTACCAGCCATCTCTCAGTCCAGACATAGCATACAATGAAATCTGCTGCTCAAAGTTATATCCACTGGGAGAATTTTTTCTTCACCAGTGTCCTTCAGAATCACCCCGAGTGAAACTGAGTAATACAGAAAAATCTGTAAACCAGTCTTGTTATTTCTTCCTCATTCAACTGGAGTATCTTCAAGAGGCTATAAACCATATGAATGGAAGAGGCAACATACCTTCAGAGTCAAAGGAATCTAAGCCACTTGCCCATGCAACTTGCTTATACCATCTGTACCTGCCCAACCCCACTCTCTTGGATACCATTTCCATTTGATGGTAGATTGCTGCTGTGCACACATGGCCTTATGTCTAGGAAGGTCATACAACACCTAGTTCATGATGAGAAGTTCATATTACATAATCACCCAGCATACCATGGTTAGGCATTCAATCTCTTCCAAGGCCTAATAGCAAGGGAGATGCTATTTTCCAAAAGGCAAACAGCCATATCCAGAATAAGGCATAGATGTGCACTAAAACCCTGGAGTTTGGTATTGTAATTTTCCTTTTGGTGCTTGCTAAAGACTCCATACAACATTCCAATTTGTCATAAGTACTTTATCACTGGACCTTCTAGATAATAAGGCTCAAGTGATACAATGGCTTGTACACAGCCTGAACTTGCTGCAGAGACTTCTCAGAACTTGCTCAATACCACTTGAGACTGGCAGCCTTACAGATAACTCTACAGATGAATCTAAAAAGCACATTTAAATGTGGCATATGTTCCCTCCTAAATACAAAAAGGCTGAACACACATTCTTCCTCTTTTCCCATTGTAGGTCATCCAAGGACCAGCAACTTTCCTTTTGCCTTGGAGGAGTGACAATTGAGCCCCCAGAAACTACACTGAGGTGGCAGGCCCCTGAATTTTTGTGGGGCCTATCTCCCACCTTATATCTTACCGAGGCCTCTAAAGTATATGGTGTTTTGTGAACATCAGATCCATTCATCATAATGTCATCCAGGAGGTAATCCAATGTGATGTTTTGTGGAATGTCAAGACAATCAAAATCTCCACAGAATAAATGTGATAGAGAGCAGAACTGACACAGCCTGAGGCAAAACTGAAAGTATACTGTTAGCCCTAATAGGTAAATGTAAACTGTTGCTGGCAATGCTTGCAAATCAGTGAGGAGAAAAAGGCAGGTCAGCAGCTACAAAGCAAATGCCGGAAGACATATCAACTTGCCCCAGGAAAGATACTACATCTAGGACAGCAGCTGGAATTAACAGTTACCACCTCCTTAAGTTCATAGTAGTCCTCACTCACTCTTTAAGACCCGTGTGAGTTTTGCACAGACCAACTGATGAATTCGGTGGAGATGTGCTAACTATCGCCACTTCTTTCAAGTCTTTGATGATAGCATGGATTTTTGCAATCCCCTCAGAGATGCAATATTGCTTCTGATTTATTCTCTGAGTAGAAATGAAAGTTCTAGGAGCTTCTGTTTAGCCCTTCCAACAATAAAAGCCATCACTCATGGGTCAGAGAGAAAATGTGGGGTTTGTCAGTTGTCAACTTTGGTCCCTTTGGAGAAGTCTTAGAGGAGGATTTATGGTGTGTGCACGTGGCAGTGGTGCAGGGTCCTTCCTCAAGGGCACCTGGCGTACCT